ACACAGACAAAGGGTTTGGGAAATAAGAACAGAGGGAATAAGATGTGTGACAGCATTTTAAGATTCGTTTAAGTTATTTAAGAAATGGATTTAACAGGGAAGTGGATGTGGAAAAGCAAGGGAATGAGAATATGGGAGGTTGACGTCATTTGGATTGGGATAAGAGACGTTCCGCGGCTGCCCGGGCTGAAAAAAAAGCAAAGAGAATCACAAAATGCCGCTTCTAACGAGGAATGGTTGCCAAAGGAATTCACCACCTGCTCCTAAGCAAGCTAAGCTATAGACACAACTCTTATAAAAGGAAGATGATATAACACTCAATCTAGCAGAAAATCAGAAAATAAAATCTCCTAATACACAAAACAGTAGCTAAAATTTCTAAAAAAAATACAATATATAAATAATATTGTAGCTAAAATTTCTAAAAAAAATACAATATATAAATAGTATTGTAATAAAAAATAACTCTAATTAGAAAAAATACAATATATAAATAATATTGTAATAAAAAATTGTAAATAAGGATCCACTAGACCCTTGTCAGAAAAAAAAGTAAGGAATCCCACTAAAGGTTGCTCTAAATTCAGAAGCAGCTCAAATCAATTCTTGTGATCATTGAATCCGATCGATTCAGATCCCACTCCCACTTCACGCCAAAACATGAATTTGTGTTTACCCCTACATTTGTGTCCTCTGTCCGCAATCACACCTGTAGTCTTGTTGAACATGAATTTGTGTTTACCCCTACATTTGTGTCCTTTGTCCGCAATCACACCTGTAGTCTTGTTGTGTCCCACATCACTCCCTAAATAGACGGGGCTTCACCTTGTTCACTAAAAGCTTCTACAATCGATTTATCACCTCAATAGCAAAGTCATTATGTTGTTCTGTCTAAGGCAACTCCACTACAAAGTCTATGTTGCATCCACCTGAGGCTACAATGGAACACATGTGTTGTTCAAAAATCTATTTTGTCAGAACATATAATCATCCTACTTTGACATAACTAGAACTGAAATTGCACATGGATTAGTACTCCCACAACTCAAGCCTCTAACCATCAAGTTCATAACCTGCTGTCGTAACTTCTCATACTCAATTGACTGTATACATAAGGTGAGTCAGTTTGGAAGAACAAATCATAGGATAAATTCTATGGCATGTTGACTGTCTCTCAATGATGGTAGCCCAAGAGGTAGACTATCGATCAAGGCTTCCTAAAATTCCCTCAGCAGGGGTTGTCAAGCACGTTGCATCGGCTCATTGGACTCGCTACTTTCAAGAACCCCAATGCTAATCTTATTGGAACTTTGCATCAGGCCTGCAAAAAGAAAGCAAGTGACACCATATTCTCAGCCTTTATATGAATGTTCATTAACTCAAACTCCTTCCACAGTAAGAGTATGATGTGATACCCATTCTTAGTGAAAAAATATTTGTTCTTGTTGCCATAAGAACATGTACAACAATTGTACTACCAAGCAAGGTTTAATATTATATGACAAGCATCCGAGGGTACCATGTTACACCACATTCTTGAAATTTATCTTCAATAGAAAACACAACGAAACATCTCTTATCAATTGTGGTTTTCCCTTTCTCCAACCATGATGAGGAATAAGATTAGGTGTGCTTCTGTGTGGTCAAGTTCCACTTGTCGAACATTTGGATAGACAACATTCTCACAATTGCCTACAGGCAGCACAAATTTTAATTCATAGTGCAACATGTATGAAAACATATTGTGGCGTAGCCACTATTGCTTTCTCGAGATCTCAATATGAATGATTCGTCCAACAATTAACATCTCTCCCATTTGGCTCAAAGAAAATACTCTCCTTTGACATCCTCATTCTCTCATATATCATTGTTTGTTTATTCAAGCACTCACTGCTCAGTTAAAGAGCTCAACCTCCTATTTGAGAACGCAATTATCCAAAACAAGGACCATTAAATCAATATCTGACTTGGATGAGTTTGAAAGTGTTGACCTTTTCTCCACTCTGAACTAATTTCCTTTTCGGTTGGGTCAGCTTGGGTGCTTCAATGGATGTTCTCTTTTTCCCTGATCCTGGATTGAGCTCTGTCAGAAAGGTGCGGTGATCATCTAATAATGTTGTTGGTTCTCCACCTAAAATGCAATGGTCTATACGTCTATTACCAATACGGTTGTAACTACAATTGAACCATATTATTGATAGATGGCTTCAGACTTCCAAGATACCACGTCACTAGATATTCATTTGGTTCAACCAGCTCACATTTCAATACAAGTTGATCAAATTCAACTGTGTACTACTTCACATGATAATCTCTCTGGTGCATGTTATGATGTTTTATGAGCATGTCATATCAATAATGTAAAAAGAATATATTTGTGATGCATATCCATTTTAATTTTTAGACTATATGACTATCCTACTCTTGCTTTCCTGCAGTCGAAGATGCTTCAGAATCTCTCACCATATTGAAGCACTATTTCTACACTTGATGGCCATAAACTTAAATTCTTTTACCCTAGGGAAGGTCTTTATACTTAAATTTCCATTTCACTATTTAGAATCAATCAATGAATTCACTCGAATCTAAACATTCGTCAAAATCTGATAAGTCAATTTTCACTACAAAATCTTAGTTTCTCATTTAATATTACACGTCAAATCATCAAAATATTGTTCTTCATTATCGAAAAATTTTTCGATGGAAGATATTTACTTTTTTCTCTCGATCAAGTGAGTCATAATTGTGGTTGTGGGTGACCTCTCTAGATTCTCTCCTCTCAAAGGCGGCAAACATTTGTTGCAGTTGGAGGCATCCTTTTGCATGTCTCCAATCTTAAGCTTCTATGCATCAAGTTGCATGTTTCTTCTATACTCGATCAAGTGAGTCATAATTGTGGTTGTGGGTGACCTCTTTAGATTCTCTCCTCTCAAAGGCGGCAAACATTTGTTGCAGTGGAGGCATCCTTTTGCCTGTCTCCAATCTTAAGCTTCTATGCATCACGTTGCATGTTTCTTCTATGTAGCATTATGACATTTCCTCTCGATCAAGGTTTTAATAGGCGTTGTGGATCAACGGATGGCCAAGAGATTAGAATTTCTATTGTGCCTAATTTAGTGGAAGCATCAAATTAGGTTATGTAATTTTTTTAAAGCAAAAAAAGTCATCCAGAAAAATTTTGGGTTTATCAGGCTACAATACCAAATGGCAGCATTCTATGGTTCTTAGAAGGTGCTTAGTTAGTGGAATTAGCGGGGAAGTGGTTGTTAAATAGCAAGAGAATGAGTATGGAAATTCGTCAGTTTGGAAGGGAAAAAAAGGTGTTTCGCTGTTGTTCAAGCTGAAAACAATAAAGAGAACCAAAAAAACATCGATTCTTATGAGGCAAGCTTACGGAGGGAGATCAACTACCTATTCCTGAGCAAGCTACAGACAAGCCACTTATAAAAGGAAGATGATACAGTAGCCCGTAGAGCAGAGAAACTGAACCAAAAAAACATCGATTCTTATGAGGCAAGCTTACTGAGGGAAATCAACTACCTATTCCTGAGCAAGCTACAGACATGCCACTTATAAAAGGAAGAGGATACAGTAGCCCGTAGAGCAGAGAAACTGAAAATAAAGTCGTTAAATCACAAAATAATAGCTAAATATTCAAAATAGCCAATAAAAAATATATATAGTCTCCTAATAATACATAACCCTAATTAGAAATTAAAATTAATAAGGATTCGCAAAACCCATGGCAAAAAAATGTAAGAAATCTCGTTGAAGGTTGCTTCCTGATTGAGAGTCGCTCAATTCGATTCCCGCAATCACAGGATTCAGATCCCTCTCCCACGTACACCAAGGCGTGATTTTATGTTTTACTTTTCGCATCTGCATCCGCACCCACATTTTATTGCATCTCGCGTTAATATCCATATCCCAATATATGCACTAATAAAAGGGTTAGAAAAATTTTTAATGGTAGGATTAGGACATAGAAAAGGCAGAGCATAAAGAATATGGCTAGAAATTTTAAAAAAGAATTGATAGTAAATTAGAAATTAAACCTTCATAGGCACTTGATCATAATGAATGGAGGCTAAAAGTTCATAAAGTTAGATGAAGTTATTGGGTTGATGACGATAATTATGCGGATAATTATGATGATGATAATAAGTAAAGATAGAAAAATTCTGAAAATCAAGTAAAAATAAGGACAAATTTAGAACCCATCGGCAATCCTCTCACTTGATCATAATTACTTTTTCTTATAAAAAAAAAAACATGACTTTCATAGAGATTAATAAAATCACGTGCTTAAATAAGGCCATCGTATCAAAAGAAGCCTTCACTTGATCAAAACATGCATCACGCAGATAGTGCAAATTTCACCAATGAATCAAAATTCAAAATCAATCATACATCTCTAACCATTAGGAGCCACTACAAATAAAATGGGTTCCTTAATGACTAACAAACTCAAAATAAAAAATTAAAATAATTATGATAACTGTACAGATTACTCTTAGCTCAGTATTGGCAATGAGAACAACTGTAAGTGAAGCGAAATCTAAGTTTTACAGGCTAAACATAAAATATAACCAGCAAATAAATAAGGTATGGTAATAACAAAAACCTAAGCATCATCAGTCCAATAATAAGATCATATTCATCCACCTGTCAAGTTCTGGTAGATTAGAAGCTTTCACACGCATCATAAGATTATAGAAAAAGATGTGGTAATATCCCTAGTTATGAAAACTATTCTCACTGAAAATAAAACAACTTCTCAAGGATTATTATAGTCCTATTGTCATGTATGCATGCGCTTGAGAAATAAAAAGACTGCATTAATGTTAGGTCTTCCTGCAACATATCTTAATGAAGATAAAAGACAAAAGAAATATGCTTGTTAGATGCACGGAGTCCATTTTACCTCAAATTAATAAGGTATTATTTCTTCAGCAAGAATAGAATGTAAAAGCTTCGAAATTAAGAAAAAAATATGATACCTAGCCACGGAGAGAAATGAAATGGATTTCTCATGACCGTGATATGTTACAGCTGGATGACCATGCATTCTTCCTGAACCAACAGACCAAAGGCGAACAGTACTATCTTCCCCTCCACTGACAAGAAACTTTGAGTCACAATCACCAAGCAAGGTATCAGCGAGAACAGTGACTGGGCCACTATGACCTTTAAAACAACGCTGGGGACTACCCTACATTTAAAAAAATCAAATAAATAATAAGTGAGGCAACAGAATTAAGGATCAATGATACTGCTGATCAAAAGAAGTATGCAAGAAACTTACAAAACAGGAAAAACATTGATCATTTACAATAAGAGGAAAACTATTTTACTACTTCCAAATTAAGAAAAATAAAAAATTGATACCCAAGATTCTTGTCATCTCGAGTTCATACCTCCTTCACATTACCATACTTGCAACTTGTCATTGCCTTTTCAACTCGAGCAGCACTCTCTCATTATCATGCACACACTTGCTCCCTTCCTGCCATTCCTACTTAAATTATAAAACCCTCAACAATAGAGAAGCAACGAAGTCATGACTACAACTTGTTGTAGAATGTGTCGGCAAGACTAATGGTGTGCAAAGGAGTTGTAATAGAAATTCAATAGAAAAGGTCATTGAAAGCTTTAGCAAGAAAGCCCCCCCCCCCCCCCCCCCCCCCAACGCCTAAAAGCCGACTGAGATGAGACAAAGGCAGAAATTTTGGTCAGAATAAATTCTAACAAGCACTCGTCGTGAATTATAAAATCAGGACATCATGGGTGATGAACTAATCTAACTAAATCACTGCAAATATACTTGATATATTTCATTTCATAATTCATTCATATTCACTTATATTTGGAATGGTACTTAAACTGCATTCATATAGTAAATGCATATATTTATTAACAGCATACAAAGAATTCTGAATGCAAGTGTCAAACATGGAATCATATGAAAACTTACAGAGATTTTTTTTTTACTTTAGCATATGATTATTTCACCTGAATTGACAGAGCAACCCTACAATAAGTTTCTCCAAGGTCGTCTCGAGCTCGTCGCTTCATGTAAACAACTTGGGATTCAAAAATATCTTATCATTTAAAGAAATATTAGCACATTTCGTGATTTAATCTTAAACATAATTCATTTACAATTTCTTAACTCAAATAATCTTCTCCGATACTACCTAGTTGTCTTCCCACTTCCCCCTATCACCATAATCCTTCTTCGTCGATTTCCCGCTAATAGCCCTTACTAAAGCCCGCAAACCAATTTCGTAGTGTTTGACACAAGTTCGCCTCCGTTATAGTTGCTGAAAACAAAAAACTGCACCGATTTATGGCATATGTCAAAATGGAAATTTATTGAAGGAAATAAATATCTAGATTATCATAAAAGAGGGTTTCATAGTTTTAGATATCTTCTTGGGACCCAGAACTGCCGTCAGCGACACTCGAAGGGTTGTGTGACTGTGTTGTTCGCGCTATGCTGCAGGAGTCAATCGCAGCTCCTTCCAGGCATGTGAATTCGGGAAAATAGGAGGAAAGGAATAGCGGCAATTTATCTTACCCCCCATACTCTTAGTCGTTCGATCAAATCAAGTCAATGCATGCATGGTTCGATGCGGGGAGGTCGGCTGAGAACAGTGTTGAAGAGATTAGGGAGAATATGATTGATTAACTTCATTAAACTATTAACTTTAAAATTTTATATCTCACATTCTATTAAAAATTCATAAATAGTATTACATATGCGTAGAATTTTAGCAAATAGATTCGGTTGAATTTTGAGGGATACTAATTTTGGAGTGCATTTCAAAGTAGTTAAAATTTTACCTGACTTCTCCAATTTTTGGTGTTAAAATATAGATGCTTGCTATAATGAGAGTTCACTCAGTTACCACATTAATGGAATTGACGACCAAGAACTTGTTGATGGAAGCATCAACTAGCCTAACAACATTATGAACTTCTAAAAAAATGCATGACTCTCTTGAGAGAGTTATTATTGGCTTCAAATAAGATTTTTAAGAGACCTTAAGTTTTTTAGATAAGACATTTACCCAGAATTTCACTCATTTTATGAAGGCTTTATAATCTGATTTCAGGATTCTAAAAGGGACCATTCCCATACGCACAAACCCTTATGGTAATTATCATGACCCGACCTGGCACTTGGAATTAATCAAGATGGTGACAAACGATTGGATGATGAAAACTAAATTTTATATATTTGTCTACAATTTAACAAATAAAAGAGTCACTAATCAAATTAAATTAAGCATTATATTTAAAATTACTTTAATACTGGTTGTCCGCATCTTTTATAAATGTTTTTTGTTCTGTTGCTCATCATTTAATCTCTTAAAATTTTCCTAAAAAGTTATTTTTTATAAATGTTTTTTGTTCTGTTGCTCATCATTTAGTCTCTTAAAATTTTCCTAAAAAGTTATTTTAAAAATAACAGTGAACTAAACAAACCAGTGAATACTCATATCCCTCAACTACAGTAATACAATGGAACAATATGCATGCTAGTTAAAATTTTTAATAAATCAAAATAAATATTTGATGTTATTCAAAGAGTCTTACCATATCAATAACATATTAAAAAAATTTCATATTTATACAACCGTCACAGGAGCACCGTCAAAAAATTATATCAATTAAGGTACTTCAATATCAATATTTTTTTTTCATATATGTGCACGAGTATCTTAGTATTCCCTCACTAGTACCATTAAGGGGTCGCTCCATCATAGTCAATCATACACATACAAGCATCAAACAAAAATATCACATTCTCAAAAAAATATTTATTTCTCATTTGCATAACAGTCAAATCATTCAATAATAATGCACACACATATCATTCCTACAATACAAACAAAAAATTCATTATAATTCAAAATCCTAAGTTTTACAGTAATTTCAATATAACTAATAATAGTAATGGTGAATGCAATATGTCTAAAGAAACAAAATATTATCATAAAATAAGAACATGAGTACTCACCTCGATGTAAGTAATCTGATATTTAATTTGTCTTGATGTCAACTCTTCTATTAATTAAAAAATCAAACGAGGTATAAAATTTAATTAATTTAATATAATTTAATTAATTTAATATTTTAATAAACTATTAATATTTTAATAAACTATTAATATTTTAATAGACTATTAATTAATTTATTTTATTTTAAGTAATCCCCCACACATACACACACACATTTATATGATTATATATTATAGATTTATAATATTCTTATTAAATATTAGAATTATTAAACTCAACCTTATATTTTCTTTCGGTCGAGCCTTAAACCCCGCTGAAGTACGTCTTCCTCCCCTTTTCCGTGCAACAGGTCCGGACGAGAGTCTTCCTCGCACGAGAGCTCCTTCGATCGAACTACTTGAAGCTTGCTTTCTTCCTTCGTATCGAAAGCCACAAGTCGGTCTTCGTCCCCTCTACCCTCGCACCCCACAATATTTATGGCTTTGGCTCCATCTTTGTCGACATCATGGCTCGACGCAACAAGCAACACTGCGATCTTCTTCCCTTAAGCACAAGGCCTACTACATCATTTCCTCGGGTAAGAAAGCACGCAATGTCGCTCCTGCCTTCCTATACGGTCTAACCGTACGCACTAGTGCTCCCGCCTCTCGCGTTGATTTATAGGATGAACTTGTCTGTTAAGCTTTCAACCCCCTCGCTTCCTCTCCCATCTATCCATTTACCAAACCCTTCCCTTCTTCTTCCTCAATTCTTCATTTTCCATTCCCCATGTAACAGGAACCATTACAATAGCTTATCTTCTTCATGATGAGAAAGAATTATCATAAAAAATTAGTCCTAGGTTCCAGGTAATTATCTTACAGTAGCAAGAACTTGAATTTAGATTGCAAAAATTAATCACATTTAATTTGCAGATGGTGAGAGTAAAGTTGACTAACTCAAGTTCCATTATGGCAAGTTATTGCACACCCTGACTTAGTTGAAAGAGGTTGTCAACCCAAGCTGGCCAAATTATCCTTATTGATTGTCATAAGTTAAATCATTTAAGAAAAACATAAAAACTTTTAATAGATAGTCGCTTAAACGTGCAAGTTTAACTCAATCCTAGCCGATAGAGAGCATCGTGTCATGTCAAGTGCATTCTACAATTCACAATATACGAGGTTGAGCCATTAGAGAACATTCGGGCTTCAACCATGATCATAATATAATGTTGATCTTTTGCGGCAAACAACTATTCAAAGTGCTATAGTCATAGCTTCCCCTTTTGCAATACTATTTGACGACAAAATCACATAGTCAAATGACATATTCTACATCCTTATTAATGTTAGATCCTTCAGAAAGACAATTGAAGTATGTTTGACATTGCATTAGCATTTTATGATTTTATATTAGTATTAAGATAGTCACTAACAAAAAAATTGTTGTGGAGTTTTGATGAATTTGGCTCTATTTCATGTGATATCATTTTATTGGATATTTAAAATTTTACTATCAAGCATTGGTTGAAGCACGCATATGAACTTATTCTTTATGCAATTAAACAATCGCAACTCCTCACGGGAGCCTTCAGTCGAGCGCGATCGAACGGGCAGGGAGGGGAAGGAAGAAATACAAAGTTTTTGGATGGAGGATCTTGCCCTTCTGATTTCATACAGAGGTAAATATCATGTGGTAAGTTGAATGGGAATAGTAATGCGGAATTAGAGAGGAATAATTAAGGGTTAATTAAGTTTAATTAAACCTATAACTTTCAATATTTATATCTTCCAATCTATTCAGTACTTACATATAATATTATATATCGAATTGATAATTTTGACGCATAGAGTTTTTATAAAATTACTTCGATTGACATTTGAGGGATGCAAAATTTGTGGTACATTTTAAGTCGTAAAAAATTTTACCCAATTTCAAAAAATTAGTTATTACAATCTCCCCTCCTTAAAAAATTGTCCTAAGAAATTATGAACTCATCAACTATATAAATATATATTATGAAAAAGAAACATAAAGTAATTACAAAAATTTGTTTCTTGATAAGTGATAACTAAAACAAATGTAAATCCAACATAACACCCAAAAGACAATTTATCCATCAAACCCTATGCATCAATATTAGTGGTAACTTAGTCTTTTGTTTCTTGATGAATTAAGGAATAAACTCTTGGGTGAATGTTCT